GTAATAATAATAATAATAATAATAATAATAATAATTATGATAATAATAATAATAATAATAACAATAATAATAATAATAATAATAATAATAATAATAATAATAATAATAATGATGATGACAAAAACCTGAAAAAAAGAGAGAATCCAATAATAATAATTCTGAGATTCTCGAATACAAGAACCCGTTTCGCGTACCTGACTGATCAGTGGAACCGGCTCAGATGATATTTGGTGGACCCCATATAAATCATCCAATAATGCAGGAATACGAAACGCGTGTAAAGAAATGAGTAAATCAGGGCTCACGTGTTATAACGTTTCGTCCTGAGCGTAACCCCCTTTCTCTCTCCCCCCACTCCGTGGCGGCGCCCTCCGGTTTCTCTCTCCTAGGGTTTCTTCCCCTTAAGCCCTCTATAGGTTTGGGCGATCGCGTCATCGCGTGCTCGCCCTCGCGACCTCCAGATCCAACCATGGCGGCTGTCGCCCCCGCTACTCCTGCCGACTGTATCCTTGCCTCGGCTGGACATCATACTGTTTCCATCTTGTTTCGCCTCGGCTTCGATGCGATCAGTTTGTTCGATGGTTTCTTGGTTCGTTTTTCTGTGTAAATACTGGAATTTTGCTCTGCGGATTTGGTCTTTTAGGGTTTTTGTTCGTTTTTCCGTGGGTCTTTAGTATCGTCAAAACGTGTTTTTGAACTGATTTATCAGTACTGAGCGGTAGTGTTTTCCTGTCTTCAATTTGTTGATTCGTCGTTCGGTCTTGTCGAATTTTTCCTTCTGTGAAGATATTGTACGTGGCCTTTGTTCTTAAGCTCGTAAAGGAATGAACTTGGATTCGATGCTATCCGTGACGTTCTTGAAATCATTCTGAGGTTTCTGACGCGTTTGTTGTTGGTATGCTTTTGGGTTGTGATATATGAGTTTTCATTGAACTGTTATTCCTTAATCAATCTGTTACAGCAGCTACGGATCTGATGCAGAAGTTATCCTTGGATCCAAAGGACCAGAGTAATGATGCTTCAGATGTTATAAAGAAGGTAGCTTTATTAACTTTGCCAATTAGTAGTTGTGGATGACGAGTGTACCTTTTTCTTCTCTTTTTTGTTCAGTCTGTAGATTACAGATTACAATATTGAAAGTATTGACGCATTTCGATTCCTAGCAGCCTTCTGGAGTTCAGTATGGTTCAGCTAGTGGCGGTGAATTGCCAATGGCACCAATCCCAACAGCCGAACGGTCTCTGACTCCTCTACTTCATGAGCATATGGATGCTAGCATGTGCTACATACCGAATGGATATGCTTCATCTTTCTACTATGGAGGTTAAATTGATTTCAACTCTGTTTATTTGTGTGATTTCAAGAACTTACTGAGTTGTTTGATTATTGGTGATGTTAAGTAAACTTATCTGATCAATGACAATATGTGTTGTTGTTGTTGTTTCAGAATGTTTGCTTTGGTTAGGATGAAACCATTTGGTTGCTTTAGTATTTTTTTTCTCTTACTATGAAGGAATCATCTCACTATTTTCGAGAATTTTTCAGGTTATGATGGCTCAATGACTGAGTGGGAGGACTACCCTAGGTATGTCACCCCCAATGGAGTGGAGGTGCCTCCACTTGTAAGTTTCCTTGCTGTTTTCCCGTTCTTGATTCTTTATTCTCATACTTATGATAGGTTAGTTTCCTAATTTTAATGCAATCAGTTATTTTCCAAGTCTCATATTTTTATTCTGAATTTATATGATTATGATAGCAAGTTGTGATGACATTTCCTGTTTACTGGCAGGGAGTTTATGGGGACATGTATCAGCATGGATATGGTTATGCTCCTTATAGTCAATATCCTTCTCCTGGATCCACAGTTCCGACTTTGGCACACAATAGTCAACTATATGGGCCTCAACATTACCAGTATCCAGCTACGTATTACCAGCCACCCATACCCACCGGCGCACCATACAAAACAAATCAAATTCCTATTTCTGAAGGGGAGGTTTCTACATCTGCTGCTGCCGACCTTCCTCCTATTCCAGTGGATACCACAAAATCTAATTCAAATGGAACAGCTAAAGGAAGCACAAATGGCAACAATGAATCAGTAAAGACAAGACCAGGCCAACAGAATTCATCGTTGAATCCAGGCATCTCATTTGGTAAAGGTGCTTTGTCCGGTGGGCTTCCTTCTTCGGGTTACCAGGATCCAAGATTTGGTTTTGACGGAGTGTGGTCATCTGTTCCGTGGTTTGATGGTACTACGTATCCCGATGGGCAACAGAGACCAGTTACAGCGAATGCTGTCTCTTCTATGACTTCACATGATCGCAATACTATGCCCACAAGAAATCAGAATTTCCGCCCCCTTCCTCATCTCATGGTATGTTGCTTGATGCAATTTTCTGTTAGTTGAAATGTTTATAAATTTTGCTGATGAGAATTGTAGTACTTATCAGGAGACATAGTAATCACTTTTATGCATATCTTATCTGATATAGAAATTTCACTCCGCAGCAAGCCAAGAGCTGCTTCTGATCTTTAAATGCTTTGTTAATGTGTATATTTATTTACTTTGCAATTTTTTTTTAGTCAAATCAATTGTTGGAATACTTTTTGGGCAAATACTTGGAGCTGAATTGATTGACTTAGTTTATTTTGGCTTTCTTTCGAGACATATTGTGTCAGTGTTATGAAGGATTTTATTTTTATTTGTGACAGGGAATGCATTCCCCGAGGCCAGCAGGTCCTGGAACTGCAAACAAGATGTATCCTAACAATCGAATGTATGGCCAGAATGCTAATGGATTTGGCAATGGTCATGGTTTTTGTTCAAACATGTACGACTCCAGAATGAATGGAAGATGGGGGATGTCTGTGGATAGCAAATATAAGCCAAGGGCCCGAGGCAATGGATTCTATGGATATGGTAATGATAACTTGGATGGTCTGAGTGAACTTAATAAAGGACCAAGAGCTGGTCGTTTCAGAAACCAGAGGGGGTTTGGACCTACTATTACTCTTGCAGTAAGGGGACAAAGCCTACCTGAAAATGTAAATGTTCAGGATTCTACTGTTATTCCTGAAGGAGATCAGTACAACAAGACAGACTTCCCTGAAACATATTCAGATGCTAAGTTTTTCATCATTAAGTCATATAGTGAGGATGATATTCACAAGAGTATCAAGTACAATGTTTGGGCTAGTACTCTCCACGGAAACAAGAAGCTTGATGCTGCTTATCTGGAGTCCAAGGAGAAGACAAGTGGATGCCCTATTTTTTTGTTTTTCTCTGTAAGCATTAGTTACAACATTTAGCAATCTCTTCCCCTTTTTGTTATCGCATCAGGATGATGAGTGTTTCACTGTTGATTTACAGGTCAATACAAGTGGACAGTTTGTTGGTGTGGCAGAAATGGTAGGTCCAGTTGATTTTAACAAAACACTGGATTTCTGGCAGCAGGACAAGTGGATTGGATGTTTTCCTGTCAAGTGGCATATTGTAAAGGATGTTCCCAATAGCATTTTAAAGCACATCAAAGTGGAGAACAATGACAATAAACCAGTCACAAACAGTCGAGACACTCAGGAGGTGAGGAATTTTTACTAGTGTTAACCGTTTGGCTTTTCAATTTGAACCATTCTGACCCACTTTTTTTTTTCAGGTGAAGCTCGAGCAAGGTCTTCAACTTCTTAAGCTTTTCAAAGAGCATGTGAGGAAGACATCCATTTTGGATGATTTCAGTTTCTATGAAACCCGCCAGAACGTGATGCAAGAGAAGAGAAGGAAGCAAGAGCAATTTCAGAAAAAGGCATGATCAGATTATATATGTCTAAAATTCTAAAATTCATTAGATGTTTCAACTTGTGACGTATGGCACAACCCAGGGATCAATGGTTTTCAGCTTCGTGCATTTGAAAATGTTAATTTACTGTGTGGTTCTGCCTCTTCCTATTTCTGTTGGTCTCATTTTGTTTGTTGCAGTGATAGAACTTCATCAAACTTGCTCGTTTAGACAGCTTGGAAAATTTTAATTTGCGTTATATGTTCTAAGATATCCTCTCCAGTGCTCATTTGTATGATTTCCATTTCAGGTTATGGATGAGAAAGATGAGGATGGGGCTAACGGAAAGCCTGGGTCACAGAACCCTGTGGAAGTGGTTACAGTCATGAAGAAAGAACAAGCACAGGGTGGTCTTGCACTTGCAGAAGATGTGCTATCAGAGACGAATGGTGTGGCTACGGTAGCTGATGTTGTGTGTGGTTAAATGGTGTTGCCAACTGTTGCTAGGTTCATGAAGCCACCTTTGAGCATAATGGAGATTTGCAACCTAGTCCCTGAGGCATCAGGCCGATGATGTGTGTGCTTAACATCTGCCTCGGCCGTAACAAAGCTGTAGTTTTCTTATCCCAGTTTAATATTGATTTTAGTTTGTTTTCCTTTTTCTAGTTTTCAGTCAAGGTGGGAGATTGGTGATTTGAGATCCTAGGTATTAGAGGCAATCAACCTGTTCCCTGTGCTCTCCTTAATAGTGTATTTTTGGTTCTTCTTTTTGTTTTCTGCAAGAATAACATCTTTGGCACAGAATTTTGTATTAGGGACTTTCTTAATGTGTTTTCGTTTGTTTTCTGTATTGGAAAGCTGTTTGTCGGTGGCAGATGCTCATTCTTTATGTGCAAGAAGAAGCCATAGCAGTGCATCTGTATTAGGTTTGGGTTGCCATTATTATGTTGCGCATTTAGTAGGAACAACAAGTTTTGGTTCATCCTTCATGTCTGTCTGCTACTGATGTTGCGAATGTTGGTTCATCTTTTAATCTGCTTGCACGTCAACTTCGTTCGTCAAGGGTGTGATTGATTGGTGGATGAAGTCATCGACTAGTTGTAAATGATAAATGATGATGATGATGACGATGGTCTACGAAATAACTGCAGCATGATTCTGTGTTCCATGATGCCTCAAGACACAAAATATCAATATCTCTAGCGTCTTAAATCTAGTCCATCAGATAAATAGTTGTATTAAACACTAAATACCTTATTCCCCCCTATCAAAGATTGATTGTTCGATCCACATATACATACGAATGACCACAGACGAACAGCACAAACATGACCTCCCATGGTTGGTTGCTCATCAAAAAGGAAAAGCATGTCATGTCGCTCTGTATCTCAATACAGTGGCAACAAGAAGAACATTGTTGGTTCACATCGTATCTCAATAAGAGAACAACTGTTCCTTCGATAGGAAAACTTCAGATCAGCCTCTGGTGTTTGTTTGCCTGATGGAGGGAGGTTTACCACTTTTACCAGTCGATCATGTAATGTATGGCGTTTAAAGCTTTTCACCGAGTATACTTTGAGGGGAGTATGACACATCCACTGAAAGCTATCAATTCATCGACAGCTCCTGAAGCATATCCCTGCTGCAGATTCTTCACCCTATGTACAATCGAAAATTAAAAGAATCGATGGCTACTCCATCCTTGCCGCTTCCATCTCATGACAGTATCTGCATAAAGCATAAAATTAGAGACATAAATGATGAATATGATAAATGATTAGTATGAAGACGATGTTTTAATAGAACACCTAATCCTTAAAAAGGATCAAATAGAGCACCTTAAATGAAAATCTTTATAACTCACCCATGAAAATTACAAAACTTAAAAACAGATATGGCAGCATGATACCTGGCGTTGATATGCATACTAATCATTTGGTTAGCTTTTTACGAGAAACAATTCGGCATCAAGAAAAGTCAATAGCACAACAACAGCAAAGAGGAGGGGGAAAAAAAAAAGTCTGCCACGCATTTGAAAAAGGAAAAATCATCGATTGGAACACTTAGTATTGCAGGGAAAGGCCTTAAGACTATCAAAAACAACAGTTCAAATGTGTTGAAGCAGGGACTCAACTGCATAAACAGTTACTAGAACCTTCGATTCCAATTCAAGAGTATGCTATATTCACTTGTACGAAAGTTTTGGAAGGTCGAAAATAATAAAGGTAGGAACAAGCCAAAAGATGACTAATATGAGAGTGAAAAGTTAAACTAGCTTGCATCGACTCATACAAGTATGTCTCTGCATGAGCATATGACTAATATGTTGCAACAGTTTCTCTTACCATTGTTGGACCTTCCTAAACTCTGCGAGGACTGGATATATATTCTCAAATGCTGTGTACGTCTCATCCCTCACCTGTCTCACCGACGGACACCATAAGACAGAGCACAATCATTTATTTATGGAAATTTCAGAGTGGACAAAGTTTTACCTTCGCCCCAGTGAGAACGATCTTGCCAGATACGAAAATGAGAAGCACAATCTTTGGTTGCTTCATCCGATATATCAAGCCAGGAAAAAGCTCCGGTTCATACTAATAAAGAAAATAGACAGGGAGATGAATTCAGATCAAGAAGCCACTTGCATGTCCAAAAACTAACGATGCTTATAATAGCAGAATGGAAATAAATGTTCAAATTATTAAATGATTTGCAAAACCAACATAGCATCAACCTTTAAGCAAATCAACAAGTCGCAATATTTCATTCTTAAAAAATAGAGATGTATCATAACTCTGCTTGATATCTAATGGATAGCAGTCCATGCAGGACTGACCTGAATATTCTAATGCTAACAAATTATTTGCTGCTGTTTGAAAAACGAACTAAAGAAGTCAAAAAATCCATGAAAGATAAACATAGAATTTAGGTAACTTTTAGATATACTAATAATAACTTACACTGGAGAAAGCACCATGGGCATAAGCAAGGCCCTCGAGTCTTATAGGGAACTTCACATCACAGGAACCGACAATGTTCTGGACCTTAAAATCCTAGAAATGGTAGCAACAATTAGAGAGAGCGAGGAGAAGAATATAACGATGAGAGAACACCAAAATTCACAAGCAACTAAATACCTTAAATTTTGCTGGAAAACCAAGCTTCTGAATAATGCGAGCATACTGCAAAAAGAGAAGTATCATGAATACATAGTTATATTCTTAGAAAACCCAGTGCATAAATATCTATCAAACAATGCATTTGACAAGATCGATAATGGAAGCATAAACATCAGGTTCGCTGTTCTAAGGTACCTTCCGTGCTGCAAGTTTTGATTGATGTTCACTCTTGGCCCCTGTACAAACCTATAAAAAAACGAACAAAAGCAGATTAGGATACTATTAAACTACAATAATCAAGTATTTTCAAAGACAACAGAAGATCAAGAAAGAAAAAGCAGATATTTTTGTCCAAATGACAGTTGTTGTTGCTTAATACTAAACAGAACTATTTTTTGTTTATCTACATCAATAACAACAAGTCAAGTAGCTTTTTCTATCAACAAATACTTCCATTGCAAAACAGACAAGCAACTTCCTTGCAATAAATGAAAATTGCTGATAGCTCTGATAAATTATGTGGAGCAAGATCAAATCCAGAATCACAACGCCACATTTTGCTATCAAGTATTGATCATTATGACCTCAAGCAAACTGCAACAGCTTAAAAATGTGGCAAACATCCTATCTTAAGGATTAAAGCTTTAAAGAGCAGGCATCTAAATGAGAAGGATTTACTACTATTCAAACTATTATTACAATCTGCTTCAGGGATGTTTTAATCAGTCACTGCTCGTGGAACAAAGAAACTCTTACTAACAAACACCATCACAATAATCTGATGGAGACATCCTACATTCTGCTACTAGATATCAACCACCATCTCAACAGGACAGTATTTTGGTTGGACAACCAACAACTTGTTCAACATCATTTTTCCCAAGAGCTAACAGGATAGAGAGCTCTCATAACAGAATATATATCTACTAAAATGATATTCAATATTTCAACGAGAAAAGTTGTGTGCTCATACTGACAATTAAGATTCTGAGAAAAAATCAAACAAGCAGATACAAAAAAATTATATGTATACAATGCGACAAATATATGTCCATTATACAAGTTGGCAAGAACCTAAGCTTTGCAACCAATATGATAGTTAAAAATAAAAACCACGCCAACATTTGATATTATTTAAGAGAGATGACCAGCAAATTTCTGAATTATAAACTCTCAAATCCCATTTCAACCTTTAAACTATCAACAAGTCACAATGTGCACAACACATCCTCATCCTCCAAGGTAAAAGACACTCAAACTGACACTACACCATTCTCAATAGAAAAACAGCATTTTTTGGTTTATCCTCCGACATTGCCCCCCTCAATTTAAGGAAAATATTCACAATTAGTTTCTCAACCAAAAATAGTATTTGGAAATCCCAAGGTAGCATAGGGTCCTTCCAATAACACAGGCAGGAAATGGACTGCTAGTTCTACAGTAATCTTTGGCACTTTATGTATGATATTATACAAACCTGCATCTTTATAAATTTCTAGTCTTAAGATGTTAAAGGTTACATCACAGGAGACATATACTAACAAAACCAAAGCCTAAAACTGACAAGAGAGAAATCTGAAACTGTAGAGCCAGGCAGCGCTTGGTCACATAAATCCAAGATAGAAGACAACTCTCACCCCTCATTCTAATATTCAATTTATAAACTCATTTCTTTTGTGTATAACTGCTACAGGTCTAGAATCATTCTCCCTCCAATGGATTGTCATGCCATAAATGACCGCCTGTGTTTGTGAAACACCAGCATCGGCAATTATATGCTAGTACCATGCTCATATAAGAACACTAGTCACAGGCCAATCTGCAACAGGCAACACATGGCACATCAATGCATGCAACAGTCCTGCAGAATGAGTGATGGCACTGTGCTGCAGTGATTATACATGATCCCATCTATTAGTCAATTAATTATCATTCAAAAGACATGGAAAGAAAGATACCACAGATGAATCTTCAAATGAGTTCAATTTTTGTTCTTATTGCAGCCACAAAATGAATTAAAAAAATAAGAAACCATAAGTATACCTAAAAAGGATTTGAAGTGTTAAACACGTCATATGTACCATCTCACAATTCTCAACAGCTAATCACCAAGCATAGAAGAAAAAGTCGAAATAAAGAGAACAAGAACAAAATATCCACATGATCTGTTTATGTTGATGAAACATTTAAATTTGGATTAAATGAGAAAGGGATTCACATATAAAAGAAATCCATATCACAGACACTGAATTGCAAGATGTATACATGCAATGCATATGCACCATTGTAATTTCATGATTATAAGCTAACTTAGCAAAATTCACAAAAAGTAAGTAAATCAAAGAAGTCTTCCTTAAATATTCCAAACATAAATAATTGTGAAAAGAGCCACTGTTAAGACTTTAACAGTGACAAACTATTATTAGTAAATAAACTCTATAACTAAAATACCAAAGAACATGGAAATGTGATATGTATGGTACTCAGCTTACTTACCATCTTTCCAGAGGCAAATATCAAGGCAGTGGTTTTTGGTTCTCTTATTCTCATAATGACAGCAGCAAAACGCTATCAAGAAAAAAAGTAAATTATAAGAATACTTCTAACAACACTCATTTCTTCAACACATAAGAAGTTTGCAAAGAAAATGCAAATGACTAGAAGCATATCAGTATCCTTTTTGAGAAATATAATAGGCATATTCTTCATATATATTGCAACTTGGAAATAAGAATCTATATAAGTGATGCAAAAACCAAAATTAATCAACATTTTGTGACAAGGCTTGCAAAAGTATATCAATTGATCTTATGAACTATGATGGTTTCAACATAAGTAGTCTTTATGTCACGACTCGAGCCTAATAGACTAATTGGCCTATCAACTTCGTTTAGTCCAACCCACTAGCCAAAATACGTAAACTGAAATTGATAGTAGTACACTCATCAAACCCTTTTAAGCCACAATCTTAGTTTTGCCACTTTTGATGTGGGACTAATTGAGGTATTATAATTTTTCCCACTCAAGGACTTGACATCCTTGTCAAGACCTAACATAGCCTAGATCAAATCCTAACATGGTGCATATGAGACGTAGCCAAGTGATGGCTCCACGTTGTGACGAGCCCTCTGACTCCATCCACGAGTAGTTATTTCCTACTTGAACTCCCTTACCATGCCCAAATACTAGGTCGATTCTAATACCAAATGTCACGGTTCAAGCCTAATGGGCTAACCGACTTATCAACTTCGTTTGGTTTAAACCATTAATCAAAATACTTAAGCTAAAGTTGATAATAGTACATTCATCGGACCCTTATAAACTAATCTTAGTCTTGCTCACTTTCGATGTAGGACTAATTGAGATATTATTTAAATCATGGAAATAGACTTTACTGCATAAGCCTGAACCTCAACACATTAGCAGAACAATAGCGGTGGGACTCTATACCGGTACACTAGCACATACCAAGTTCTGAAAAAAATATGAAAAACAAAATAACAGCTCGATATAAGGCTTATGCCATAGTATAACGAGTGCACCACCCGATTTACACCAATCTGTGTCTTGATAAGTTGACAAATCACTAAATACCGCATGGACTGTATCATACTAGACAATATTGCAAACCTTGCTTTAAGAGGCAAGAAGTGCCACACATTAAAATTGAGGCTATTCAACTTTTTGTTAAAATGAAAATTTCCTCAATCTCACAACTCACCAAGTACTAAACTACAACAAGGGTATATCCAAGAGAAGGGTAGAAAAAAAAACCAGAAAGATGATTTTAAAAGCAACAAAAATCATTATGAAATGAAAATTTCAAGAGAAAAAAAATATTCTAACACGCAGGATAAAGCAATCCAGGAAAACAAGATGTGTACTCTTAGAGTACACATCTATATCATACCTTGGGATTGTACTCTGCATTGCGGGCTTGTAAAGCAATAGCCTTAAGGTCCAGTTTGCAATCCAAATTTACTGTAGAAACAATATTCCTAGATATTGAACCAACAGCTTGCATCAGCATAGCCAATTCACATCATGTAACATATATTCGTACAACTAGAGAAATACAAGAATCATCACCATCTTGTAAATTAAAACTAGTGATACATTAGAACTTGTCATGAGCAAAAATTGTCAAAGCTTGATATTTGGCAAGCCAAGTCACTACCACAAGCATTGCTACCATTAATCAACAATGTAAATAATCTTGTAAATAATCTTATGATATTCAATAAAGAGACACTTGCATAACTAATTCATACGCTCCTGATCTAACCAACATTTACATTTAGCTTCTGTATTTGTTATCAAACCCATTCAACAGAACCACATTTACGAACAGCCACATAGCACCAATAAAGCTTCTCTTTATTAGAATCAGAACTGGAAAATATTTTTTTCTGATAAGAACAGGAAACAAATTCGACCCAAACCTGTCATAACAAAAATGCACCATACCTAGTATATTGAGGAGCCTTTTTCTCTTATTTTGAAACTAGAAATCAATCTAAACTTGTTTAATAAAACTATGTGCTATAAAAGTAAATACATGCTTTCATTTGTGAGAAAACATAGAATGTATACATTATGAAGTCCTGGAGTAATCAAGAAAATTTTTGTGACAGTGTCAAATCAAACATAGATTGAGTTATTCACAGTAGTTCATTATAAGAAAATTCAGTGCTCCTTAAACAAAGTGTCTTATAACAACATACACATCTAATACATGAAAGATCCAATCTTGTTTTGCCACTTCATACAAAATTTTAATTGTATGTGTTAAAATTTTAATACATCGACCATTTAGAATATTACATACAAAATTGTAATACATCCACTGTTCAAGAATGCCAAACAGATTCCCACAACAGTCAACTAGTATCAGCATGGTGGTCTTATGTAATGATACAAGCCATGCAGTAATCTGCACTGGAGATCAAGTAATAACGAAGCACTTCAATCTTCTTTTATTTTTTCTCTATTATTGGGCGCATCACTTCAACCTGATGAAGCTTCAGACCAGATTTAGTTGTCCCCTTTTATCCTAAGAAGAAACCAGTTAGAGGGACTTACTGGAGTGTGGGAATAATGCCAGATGGGTGCTTCGAAAGTTCAACAGGTTGGCTTCCCACTAATTCCTGATCCGCCATGTTCACCCACAACAAAATCCAACGTTTTCCTCAATAAACAGATTCTTGCCAGATCTTCAAGAGTTCCAGCTCAAGTAAATCTTAGTTGTCAATGTCTAAATCACTTCCTTCAATCCCTCCCTCCTTTTCCAAACCAAATCAGCAAATAGATTCTTGCCAGATCTTCAAGAGTTCCAGCTCAAGTAGATCTTACTTGTAAATGTTTAAATCACTTCCTCACAATCCCGCTCTCCTTTTTCCAACCGAATCAGCAAGTATCACCCTCCACAAACTCCAACCTTTTCCTCAAGAAGCCGAACCACAGCAGAACCTCCAAACGTCCAGCTCGATTACCTCAAAATATCAATGTCCAAAAGTCACCCTCGTACAGTCCGTCTCTCCCTTTCCAACCAAACGGAACAAAGATTCCCCAAATTACCGCCTTTCCTTGATTTCCAACCAAAGACTCCCAAAACATTACACGGATCGGCCACCACGAAACCGGACAGTTAGCAAGATCGAGTCCTCGTCAGAAATACGAAGATCGTAGCACAAGCAACAGATCTACCGATCGCGGCGACCTGCGCACGAGATCCGAGTGTCTATTTGAGGAATCGGGCGGCTCCGAGAAGATCAGGAGCAGCAAACGGGCAGATCGAAGCGGGAGACGGGAGGGGAGATGGATTTTAATGACGGGGGAATTCAAACGGGGGGGACTTTTATAAGGACGATGGGGATGAGAGGTTCGTGGCTTTTAGGGTTTGGTGTGCAGTGCCAGAGAAGCGTAAGGGACGTCGAGGCGGCGGTTCGAGAGGGGGTGGGGTTTTCTACCCCGTGAGGGTCGGGTATTTATAGATGGTCACCGGCTAGGGAGGGCTTTGGGTCGGTTTTCCAAACGACTTAACGGGTGTGGGCGGTTTCTGGGCTATTTAGTGATGGGTGAGAAGTGGTTCTAGAACTTTCCTAGTGTCATTTTTGTCATTTCGTCTTGAATTAGAAATACATATAAAACCTTAATGGTTTTTTAGGTGTTTAGTATTTTTTCGTACATATATTTCTATGTAAATATTAAGATCATGGTTAGATGCTTATAACAAGACTCGGACCTCTGACTTGGAAAATATTTTGACCTCAGGTATATCCTGATTTTTTTTTATTAATGATGAAATCTAGATGATAAATTTCTATGATTGGAATAATCATTTAGCAATATGTTTCTTGGATTATAATATTGTTTTTTTCATATCCTACGTGGCTGCCCATGACAGTGTGGGCTGTCATACAGAAAGGCCACGTACGATGACACGGTTCTACAGAAGTCACGGATACCGTATCCGTAGGTAAGATGCACATCTTACCCCTAACACACCAATGCCTCCACCACCCATTCGACGAAATGCCTCGGAGAACCACTCCCTTCCTCCCCACAGTTACACAAAGCATTGGACGCTAAAGCAATCAAACTCGTTTATTCGATAGAGAAGAAGCTACACGACAACCACTCCCTCCCCACAGTTACACAAAGCATCGGACGCTAAAGCAATCAAGCTCGTTTATTCGATAGGGAAGAAGCTACACGAGTGCAGCATCGATCAAATGTAGCCGCCGTTCACCCGAATCACCTGTCCGTTCACCCACTGCCCGGCGTCGGTGCACAGGAACCCGACCACCGGCGCGATGTCCTCCGTTTCCCCCAGCCGACCCATCGGGTTCTCCTCCACAATCCGACGGACCAACTCCTCGCTCTTCCCCGCGAAGAACATGTCCGTCGCCACCGGGCCCGGCGCCACGCAGTTGGCCGTTATCGCCGTCCCCTTCAGCTCCTTCGCCATGACCTTGACCATGGCCTCCACCGCCGCCTTCGAGGCCACGTACGCTCCGAACCCCGGCCGCAGCGACGCCGTCGTCGAGGACGTGATGCACACGATCCGCCCGCCGCCGCCGCGGGCGAGCCGGTTCGCCGCCTCCCGGCAGCAGAGGAAGGCCCCCCGGGTGTTGACGGCGAAAGTGGCATCCCAGTCCTCGACGGCGGTGGCGGAAACGGTCGGGTACTTGTCATCGAGGACGCCGGCACAGGCGACGAGGATGTGGGCGGGGCCGCCGAAGGCGGACTCCGCGGCGTCGAAGAGGGACTTGACGTTGTCGGGGTCAGAGACGTCGACGCGGACGGCCACCGCGCGGGGTTTCTGGTTGGTGGAGGACGAGGTGGAGGAGTTGAGCTCGGCGGCGAGGCGGTCAGCGGCGGCGGAGCTGGAGGCGTAGCCGATGATGAGGGAGGCGCCGAGGGACGCAAGGTGGGAAGCAATAGAGCGACCGATGCCGCGGGAGGCACCGGTGACGATGGCGATGCGGCCGGAGAGGAGGAGGGCGGGGGCTGTCGCGGCCATGGATCGGAGGAGAAAACAGCGATGAAGACCTCTGCAAAGGGAAAGCGTTATACTTACATATCAATCCTTTTCAAAATTTGACATATCGTATATACTACGCATGTATCCCTCTCCCGTTATGTCCATTAAATAAAATTAATCAATTACCATCATTATTAATATTTAATTCGAAGTAAAAAAATAAAATATTTAAAATATCTTTATTATTGTATAAATTTGTTAAAAAAAATCAAGTTTATATTATTTTATGCACAGCATCCCTTTTTGATTTATTACCTCTATTTCTTGGTATCTTTATCATTTTATTCTTGGCTTCACTACTCCAGTCTTATCGTCGCTATTTTTCATCCCATCATAATTGTCTGTCATCGCATTATAACCATCTTCACCCTGTTAGGAATCACCTCCCACGATAATATTATCATAACAACCACTTCATTCCGTCATTGCAACGGCCCTTACTTGGAGCCCTCGTTGCCTCCATGCCACTATTAGTGCAAGGCCCCATGGCCTCTACCCTGCCTTCTTCTCTTCTGTTCTTGAGGGCGCAAGCATAGAGTAGTTGTTCGGAGTAGGAGGTGGAAGGCATGGCAAGGGTGTTGGAGGGGGAAGAGGCCATGGGAACAAAGCTGGTGGTCGATGTCAGCAGCAATAGACGGGCTCTTAGTGAAAGGATGAGGCAAGGATATAACGGGTGAGAAAAAAAATATTTAGTATGACGAATGATGTGAAGATGACTGGCCTTGTAATAGGGCGAAGGCGATGGAGATCTATAAGTGAAGTCCTCACTATAGGGTAGAAACGACCACAGTAGGGTAGCGAGACGATGGCGACCACCATGGGGTCACGAGGCGAAGGCGATGGGACGAGGCTATTATACGGTGCTGTTAGTGAACAAATGTATCGTGGCTAGTGAGTCAGCACGGCCTACTCCACGGATCAATGTCAGGAGTCTTCTGTCGGCTGAACTGGATACCGAGGTCGATCGGGCCCTTGCGACGGGGTGCTGATCAGCGTTCCTTGGTGTGCCGATCTGGGCGTCGTGTATGCCAAGCTACGTCTCTCCTTCTCCGAGGTGGTTGGCAACTCGTCTTCGTGAGGTGGTCGCGACCTCGAGAAGGGGTGCTGGTTGGCGTTGGTCAGGATCCGGGCCGGTTGGCTGCTCTCCTTCGTGCACTAGATAGCGATTCTCGAGTGGTTGGTGGCTTGTCTTCATGAGGTGGCCGTGTTTTCCTACAAAAATGGCCCTCGTCATGAGCTCAACTTCGAGTCGCGATTCTCGACTCTGAATTGAACTTGGGGACCGAGTCATGAGCTCAACTTCGAATTGAACTTGGGGACCGAGTCGCGAGCTCGGCTCCGAATTAAACCTAGGGACCGAGTCGTGAGCTCGACTCCGAATTGAACCTGGGGACCGAGTCGCGAGCTCAACTCCGAATTGAACCTGGGGACCGAGTCACGAGCTCGACTCTGAATTGAACCTGGGGACTGAATTGTGAGCTCGGCATCGAATTGAGTATAGGGACCGAGTTGTGAGCTCAGCACCAAATTGAGTCTGGAGACCGAGTTGTGAGCTCAGCTCCGAATTGAGTCGACGAGCCGCAGGTCGGGAACTGATCTGGAGAGGCTCGGGCAAGAGCTGGGCTAGCGAGCCATAGGTTGGGAACCGATCTAGAGAGGCTCGGGCAAGAGCTGGGCCTGCGGGCTGCAGGTCGGGAACCGATCTGGAGAGGCTCAAGCAAGAGCTAGGCTAGCGAGCAACAGGTCGGGAACCGATCTGGAGAGGCTCGGGCAAGAGCTGGGCTTACGGGCTACAGGTCGAGAATCAATCTAGAGAGGCTCAAGCAAGAGCTAGGCCAGCGAGCCGCATGTCGGGAACCGATCTGGAGATGCTCGGGCAAGAGCTGGGTCGACGTCTTTCGATGGGTCTCCTGGGACGTGGAGTTACTTCTTGGGGTTTCTCAAGATAGCGCCCGAGGTGACCTTTTACGATGAAGTTCTCACTTCAATTCTGGAGGTCACAACAATCTTCCATGCCATGACCGTATTCCTAGTGGAACGTGCTCAGAGGGAGAGGCGGAGGCCTCGGGAGCAGTAGCTTTTGTCAGTCGGGCCTCTGGCAGGGTTACACCGGGGCTGCTGAAGTTGTTCCCCGGGATTGCTCCGCCCTTGGCCTCTTGCTATTCATGCGCTTTTCCACCACCAAAGCTTCGACGGTGATGTACTGGTTGGCACGCTGGAGCGTCCCGGGGATGGCTACTGGTGGCCTTTCGATCAGTGACCAGAAAAACCTTGAAGGCTTCAAACCTATCAGAAACACCTGCATGATAAGAGAAGGTTGAGCATCCGGGAATCCCCGGATCTCAGTGGCAAAGCGTGCCATGAACTAAGAGAGCGACTCATCTTTGTGCTGGGATAGTGCGAGCAGGGTGGCCATGGAAGGCCTAGGTTGCACGCTAGCGGCGAAGTTTTGCTCAAACTCCCCGGTGAGTTGGTCGAAGGATGAGACTGAGGACTAGCGCAACCGGCTGAACCATGCTCGTGCCAATCCCCTTAGAGTGATCGGAAATGTCCAGCAAATCAATTCAGAGGTGCCATAGAGGGCCATCTGAGCCCGGAATGCGGAGACGTGCTCCGTGGGATCGGAGCTGCTGTCGTATGTTTCCAATGTCGGTAGCCTGAAGTTGAGAGGTACCAGCTTGTCATGTACTTCATGAGTGAAAGGGGACCCGCCCGAGCCGCCTTCGCTGAACTCACCCCGCGATTTTCGAAAATCACACTGGAACGCATCCAGACGTTGGTTGACCCGGGATAATTGGGCCCTAAGCGAGTCGTCCATTGAGTCGGATGATACGGTGTTAGGCTCGAAGTGGGGTAGTGTGACTTGGTAGGGTGCAGGTATGCTCTACTCGGGTGGACCTCTCGGGTCCGTCATTTGGTCGTGGGCTTCTATCGTCTCGACCTGCTCCCTGCTCGACCTTTGCATGGTCGGGTCAATCGAGAGAGCTGCTAGCTACACGATTTGGGGAATAAGTGGGATGAGCATCTGCATCATCCCTGCCATCGCTTGTACTTGGTTGGTCAGGCTAAGGAACGCCTCGGGCGACACGACCGAGGATCCCATGGTAAGTTCGAGAGGTGGTAACCCTGGGTCATTGAACAGGTGCCAACAGCGACGATCTGGCGTTAAGGCCGGGATCCCCCCATCTTGAAGGACAAGGAGGGGCTACTCTCCGGGCCCGACAATGGGTGACCGACCGGTGGTTCTTCCTCGGGGAGAGCTCCCGTGGGATGCTCCTACGACATGACCCTTCTTCTAGCGCCAAAATATTAGTGAACAAATGTGCCATGACTTGTGAGTCAGCACGGCCTGGTCCACGGGTCAATGTTAGGAGTCTTCTGTCGGTTGAGCTGGATGCCAAGGTCGACCGTGCCCTCACGATGGGGTGCTGATCAGCGTTCCTTGGTGTGTCGATCCGGGCGCTGTGTATGCCAAGCTGCGTTTCTCCTTCTCCGGGGTGGTTGGCAGCTCATCTTCGTAAGGTGGTCGTGGCCTTAGGAAGGGGTGCTGGTTGGCATTGGTCGAGATCCAGGTTGGTTGGATGCTCTCCTTGGTCGAGATCCAGGTTGGTCGGGATCACCCGACGAGGCCCCTTCGACGAGCAAGTTAGTCGAGTGATCAATTGATTTTGCCTCCTCTGGCCAAATGCTAGCCATAGGTTTTTATATTACTGTACGTGGGTCGGTCGTACACGGGTTGGCGTGGTGGACGTGCCAAATAGTGCATTAGTACAGATTCTGGCTTAGCGTGTCTCGGGAGCAGCTCGACCTCGGGGTTCCCGAGGTCAAGCAGTGCATTAGTACGGATTCTGACTTGGCATATCTCGGGAGTGGCTTGGCCTCGGGGTTCCCGAGGCCGAGCAGTTCCTTAGTACGGATTCTGACTTGGCATGTCTCGGGAGCGACTCGGCCTCGAGGTTTCCGAGGCCGAACAGTGCCTTAGTACGGATTCTGACTTAGCGTGTCTTGGGGCCGGTGTTGTCTCGGGGTTCTCGAGGCCGAGCAGTGCCTTAGTACAGATTCTGATTGTGGCTGATGATGATGTATTCTGACGTATCTTGGGCCAAAATATACCGTATCAGGTGTCATGAACAAGTTTATACACAACAAGTTCAATGTAGTATTTATGTGTGCTTGTGTATTTTATTTTTGTTTATGTTTTATATAATCTCATTTTTATTATCTTTTGTGATCATTTCTAGTTTATGCAAGTAAATTGTGTGTGTAGTCATCATGCATAGGTAAAATTGTCCAAAAATAGGCCATTCAGACAATCATTTTGGAAGATATCTAAGTGTATGGAGCAATACAAAATGTCAACTATTATAACACCCTAAAACTATTAGAGTAGCAAAAAGATAAGTCTTTGGGCTATTATTTAAAATTGGTTTGTTATCTTATTTCATAATAGTATATGTGGGGACTTGTGAAGACTTTTGAGTACGATGAATCACCATTAGATCCTTTATCATATGATCATTTAACTTACGAACACTATATTTGTAATTTGCATTGTCTATCAAATGTTTACTAAAATGTCTATTTGTGTGATCTCGAGTTAAATGTTTCTTTTAACCCATCTTCTCTTATGCAAATCCTTAGGGGATCCTAAAATATTATAGGGAGGCTAACCCTTTACAGATGGATATGCATGGGTAGTGCATGATTTATGCAAAACTAATTAAGACCATGATAGATGTTATCAGAGCGGAACAAGCATATTGAGAAACACTTGGCATGCAATCGTTAAGGACCTAGTAGAACTATGTGAGAGTAACTAGCACGCGTGACCATTTAAGGGAAAACCAGCATAGAGACATAGGGAAATGAGTTACTCAAATGAGTGAACATATGATATTAATATTCCAAAAAATTACCAACCTTTCATAGAAGAGATATTATGAACAAAAACTTTGACGACCATGTCGAAAGAATAAGTATAG